CAGGAAAGCTCTTGTAGGAAGGGCGGGGGGTCGGGGGGCACCCTCTCCCCAGTGACATCCTGAGGTTGCAGGCTCTCCTGGAGACTGGGGCCTGATGGGGGGTGGGGGGGGGAGTCCATCTCAAGCCAGAGGGGGTTGGGGGAGCCAGGAGCCCAGAGCAGGGCGCCCCCACCCCTAAAGTGGAAAGAAGCCTCCAGGAATCCAGAACTGAGTGCGCAGCTCAGAATGGGGCCCTGTCCCCACCCCGCCGGCCACCAGGGGCTCAGAAGGAGCTGCAGGCTCCTGCTCAGGTTGCGGAGCCGAGGGCCCCTAGTGGACTCTGGGAAAAGCTGGGAGATGACCAATTGGTGGCCACCACAGCCAGCCGGGTCACAGGGAGTCCGCAGGGCGCCTGAGGCCAGAACCCAGGCCTGCTCCAGCCCCCTCTCTGTCCCGTCTCTGATTGGCTCTGCTCGGCCACACGCCCCGCCCCGCTCTGTCCTGGTTGGTCGCCTGCGGTTGTCTGGGTTGTGTATTCGCTCGCTCTCCCCACGAGCCTGTCCACCTACGAAGTCCCTGACGCACAGACCCCGCTGTGCCCGTCAGGGTGGCACTGAGCCCCAGAGGGATGTGGAAGTCAGGGGTGGGGGTGACGTCCTGACCACGTGTGTGACAGGAGCAGGGTCATGGCAGAAGTGATTCAGACATGAGTTGCCGCGAGGTCAGCGGCGAGGGGCGCCCTTACAGAAGGGGGTCCGGGGGCATGGAGTGCATCCCCCGCACAGACAGGATGGGCAGGAGAAGGCGAGGCCCCCAGTGGTTGCTCCCCACGGGCTCAGAGCGGCTGGTGATACCTGGCTTTAGACTTGTCCCCCACTTCCCGGGCCTTGGGAGTCCCAAGTCCCTTCCTGCAGGCATCTGCCTCTTGATATCAGGGAAGGGCCACCCTTATGCGCTGCTCTCTGGGCTGTTTTTGAGACAAGGTCTCGCTCTGCAGTCCAGGCTGGCCTTGAGCTCACTTTGTGGCCCAGGCTGGCCTCCAACTTGCAGCAATCCTCCTGCCTCAGCCTCCGGAGGGCTGGGATGACAGCAGTGCCCAGCCACGCCCAGCTCACGCATCATTCTTCCATGGGAGCAGTGGTTGGGGAGCCCTGAAACTGCTTTTCCAGGACTTCCCAGATGTTTGGGGACCAAGGGGCTCTTTTGAGAACCAAATGGAAACTGGGGTGCTCTTCCCTTGAGACCATGCACAGGAACCCTTGGCACCACTTCCGGGAGCCCGTAGGCCCCTCCCCTCCCCCCACCTTTGCTGTTTTTGCTCGTGAGGACGGCGCTGACCACAGGCCAGGGGCTCCACAGGAAAGGGCCGGCTAAGCCCAGACCTGGGCCCCCGTTAGGGAAGTGGATGGAGCTAGGACTCTTGCCCAGGGTCACCAGACCCAGGATTCCCTCACCTGACAGTCCACGTGGGCCATCCACTTTAAAAACAGCAAAATCCACAACACATAAAATTTACCACCCTGCCATGTCAAAGAACACTATCGGAGCCACTGTGTATCAGAAACGTCGTGCAAACTCCTTCCTATCCTTTTGCACATTCTTCCATCCCCCCACATGAAGCTCTGTCTCCAACAAACGTTAACCCCGCCACCCCCACCCCAGGCCCCACTTTCTGTTGGTCTGTCTGTCTGTCTGTCTGACTGTGACAGCTCTAAGGACTTCATATAAATGCAATGCTATGGTTGTCTTTTTTGCAATCAACTTCTTTCACTACCCATAATGCCTCAGGCTTTTTCCATGCCAATGCATGTGCCATGGCCTTCCTTTTTCAGGAGTGAGTAATATTCCACCATGTGAATACCTACATTTCATTTATCCGTCTATCCAGCAGGGGATATCCCACCTTTTGGCTGCTGGGAACATGGTCGAGTTACTATCTGTTTGAGTCCCTGACTTCAATTACTTTGGCTATAGCCACAGAATAATCGACAGAATTGGTCCTATGACAATCTGAACTTCTCCAGGAACCACAGTGCTGTTCCCCAAAGTGGTTGCCCCTCTTTACATCTCCAGCAGCACTGCACACCCCTCTCCCAGCTCGCTTATTTGCCTTTCTGATGGGAGCCGCCCCTCTATTGTTTCCCCTCCTAGATTCAGTTCCAGTCTGTACAGTGGGTGGATCCTCGCAGGGCAGGACTCTGGGTACCGCCCACTCAGGGAGCCCCGGCTCCTTCTGCATAGGGAGCTGTGCCCTCTGAGCTTGAGGTCCCCAGGGCTGGCCGGGAGCACCCCAAGGCTCCCTTCTGACCCACCCTCCTGCAGGGCAGCTGTGGAGAGGACGGGGCGAGGGGAAGGTGCCCCCTGTACCGCCCCCCCCGCCCCTAACGCTCCGCTGGCCTCTGCTGTTTCTATTCTTGTCCAACCCTCTCTGTCTCTGGTTACCTACGATCAATAGGGACCGGATGTCCACAGAGGACGTGCAGAGGCACGGGGGGCGGAGGGAGGCGGAGGTGGGCAGGTGGCCAGGGCTGGGGACCTGGAAGCCTGGGCCCAGGACGGCTCAGCCTAGAGGCTTGCTGAGCCCAGAGGATCTTTCCAGCCCCTCCCCAGTTGGGGGTGTGGCTGGAGTGCCTGGCCCAGAGCACACACCTGGTACTGGGCACCTAGGGTTCCTTCTGTTCACCCACAGTTGCCATGGTTACCTCCCTGGAGTGCACGGGGCAACTCTGCCTCAGCTCCCAGACACCACCCTGGCCAGCACGGAGGCTTCCAGCAGTGGGGCGCTCGTTCCTGGTTGCCCATCTCCAGCTGGCAAGGGTCCAGCTGGGCAAGGTCCTGGGAGCCTTCAACAGCTTTTTCCAGGCAGGGGAATATTCTTCAGGGCAAGGGCTGGGGTGGGAGGGGGCGCTGCCCTGCTGTCTCCTCCTCTCCTCTCCTTTCCCCTCTCTTCCTGGTCCCAGCGCCTCGGCACCACCATGGCCTGCCAAATGTGTGCCGTGCAGCTCTGGAGTGCCCTCTAAGCACTGGGCTGGGCCCTGCAAACCCATCATCCCATTACCTCCTCACAAGAAGCCGGCAAAGTCAGTACTGTTGCTCCATTTTTCAGATGAGCAAACCGAGCTCAGCAGGTGGCCCAGCAGCCACCCAGCTGCTCTTCCTGGGAGCTCCATGTGCCCTGCTTCTCGGAAGAGACCCGCTGACAGCTGGCTGGACTCTCTGTGCCTACCAGGGTGGCCTTTCATGGTAGGCTGGGGAGTCCTGTCGTAAAAGATGCCTGGTGGGCCATGCCGCACTGCTCTTGACCTTGTGCTGCTGGGGGCTCTGCCTCCTCCCTCTTCAAGTCCTGGTGTCTCCCCAGATCCTCCAGACTCTGCCCCAAGCTCCCCACAGCAGAAGAAAATAGCCCCACCCCCTCCTCACTTCCAGGAATGGGCTGGGGACAGGGAGCGTGGCCGGAAGTGCTGGTGGCTAGGTTCCTCCCTGCCACCATCCTGACCTCCTGCAGCTCTGTCTCCCACCTTGTCCCCAAGAGTCCCAGGCCCTTCCCTCTCCTTCGGGGCTCCCCCAACCCAATGTCATTTTGCTGGGCCTTCAGCTGTCCCCGTTCCAGCCGGGACCCCACATGAGGTCCAGACACCAGAGCCCCACAAGAGCTGCTCAGGAAGTATAAGACGAAAGCCAGGTTCCCCTGCGGCAGCCCAAGGCAGTGAGAATGCAGGCCGTGACCCTGGGGAGGTCTGGGGGACCCCTCAGCCCTTGGCTTCCAGGACTGCTCAGATTCCGGCTGACTCAGAACGTCCCCATCTCCGGATCCCTGCCCCAGGGCGTGGAGGCTCAGATATCACAGGCACCCAAGCCGCTGGGCCCAGCGTGCACCCGCTTTCCTCCCCTGCCGGCCTGGAACCTGACCCTGCTTCCCGAACGACTCGCCCCGCCTTTGTCCACCCGAATCGCAGCCGCTGGCATCTGAGTGGAATGAGACACAAACACCGCAGAAAGCTACAGCCCCGCCTGCGGCCAGCCATGAGCGAGCGGGTTCCAGCGTCCCCGCGCCCCAGGGCTTCTCCTGAGCCAGGCATGATTCTTTCCAAAGCCTAAGCCTACACACGAGCTCAAAATTACACACACGGGCAGGTTAGAGAGTTCACAGAACTAGGATCATGAACTGGGTGTGGTGACGCATGCCTGTAATCCCGACATTGGGAAGGCTGAGGCAGGAGGATCTTTGGGAGCTCCAGACCAGCCAGGGCTATAAGGTGACCTCAAAGCCAGCTTGAACTGCCTAGGGAGACCTTGTCTCAAACAGACAACAAACAATCACTGTCCCTCCCAGTCCATGCCAGCTCTCCCGTGCCACCATTTTGACCAGTACGGATTTCACTCAACAGGTGCTGTGGCACTCGCCCTATGCCAGGCACCAGGCTGAGCACCTCGCTAACTGACACCTTCAACCCGCACCAGACAGGCGCTGGCCCCGCCCTGCCCCGGCCTTACCAGGATGCTCACATCACACCCCACCCGCCCCCACAGCCCAGCTCTCTGCACAGCCCGGCATCACATGTGGTCACTTCAAGGTCACACCAGGTGACCTTCCTGTCAGGCGACATCTCTGAACCAGGTCATGTCCCAGGAACAAGGTGAAGTCCCAGATGCTAAGCGATGCCCAGGTGCCAGGTGGCATCCCGAGAACCAGGGAAATCCCGGGTAACAGATATGTCCTGGGAACTAGGTGATTCCCAAGCAATCAGGTGACATCCCAGGCACCAGGCGAAATCTGGGTATCGGACAACATGCCGGTACCAAGCGACACCCTAGACATCAGCCAGCATCCTTGGGAACCAGGTGACATCTGGGGTACCAAATAATATCCCAGATACCAGGTGACACCCCACGCATCAGCCGGCACTCCTGGGACCCAGGTGACATCTAGGCTACCAAGTAACATCCCAGGCACCAAGTGATACCCCAGGTATCAGCCGGCACCCCCGGGACCCCATGACAGCCGGCCGCTGCGCCCTCACCTGCCGATGACCTCGATGTTGGAGATGGCGTAGAAGTACTTGTACAGGTTCTCGCGCTGCACATAGGTGCCGCCCAGCGCGGGCCGCAGCAGCCGCACCCGCAGGTCGGTGAACGTGAAGAAGTCCTTGAGGCCCTTGGCGCTCTCCAGCCGCGCGTACAGGTTGCCCATGTTGCGCAGCTCGGGGCCCGCGAAGATGGCGAAGCGGTCCCGCACCTCAAAGCGCACCTGCTTCTCCTTCTTGGAGCCAGCCCAGCGCGAGTACTCCTCGGTGCACAGCACGCGGTGCGCGCCCGACGGGGACATGTCTCGGGCGCGGCGCGCGGCCATGCCGAAGGCCTCCATGCAGTCCTCGGCGTAGAACTGGTAGGGCTGCCACGTGTGCCCGTTGTCCAGTGACTTCTCCAGGACCATGACGGTGGGCCGGCCGTACTCGAAGGTCATCACCACGTCGTCGGTCAGCTCCACGCTCTTGTTCCAGGACAGGGTGATGTTGGCCTCCAGCGGGCTGGGGTAGCGGCTCCAGGTCACGCTCTGCCAGTAGGTGGCCAGGCCCTCGTCCTCGCGGTCAAACATGAGCCGGGGCGGGTGTGCCAGGTCGGGGTTGGAGGCGTCACACTCATTGCTGCACAGGTAGGGGTTCTCCTGCGGGCGGAGGGAGGGAAGGGTGGGCGCCCAGCCGGCTGGCACCCCCACCCGGGGTCCGCGCCGACGCCCCGATGCCCAGCAAAGCTAATGGGGAGCCTGAGGGGCCGCCGGCCATTTCTGCACAGGCCCCTCAACCAGCAGCAGTGCTAAACTTCTCCAGGTGATAAAGTCTTTAATTAAAGGGAAAAACACCACAGAACAGTGTACTAACCGCCCAGCCCCAGCCTGCTCCCGGCTTTGATGAATATTTCAGGTGCCTGGCTTGTTCAGAGACAAAATGTCTTGGATCTGAGTTAAAAACCTTTTACCTACCAATGAGCTGGGCGGCCCCCTCCCGGGAGTGGACGCAGGGCCCAGCTGCCACCCTGCTGCCCCTGCAGGCTGCGCTGCAGTCCGCCTCTGGCCTTGACTTTGATCCTCGGGAGAGGAGGACAGGTGCCCAGACGGCTCAGGACCCCTCAGTGGGCAGGACTGGCCCTGGGCTCCTGGTGGCCGGACCCACAAAGCCCTCCTTGACTGAAATAGCTCTGTCCTGGGTGCCCTGCCAGGCCTTCATCTGCCCCACCTGGCCCGATCCTGTTGATCCCTGGGGTTGGCAGACCTTGGAATGCAAGGGACACAGCCTCCCGTCCAGCCCCTCCATGAGCAGGCAGGGAAACCGAGGCCCAGGGTGGCCAGGACTGGCCCAGGCTTCCCGGGGAGTGGGCAAAGCTTCTGCACGTGAATCTGGTCCTCCTCTTCCTGTGCGTCCATCTCTGTCTCCCCCTCCTCCACCCTCAGTCCACTAAATTACAGGTATTGTCAGCACCACGTTGACGGCCTGTTATAATGTGCTTTATACACCATGAGCCCTGCTCTGCCTCCAAGAAGGATAAACAGAGTCGCTTGCTCGCAGGAAAGCGGATGCACCTGAGACCCTGATGCTGAGCGAAATCCCTCAGACTCACGGGCTTCAGTATTGAGCAGGTTCTCCCATACGAGAAACCCAGAGTATAAATAAATTAAAGCACAAAATAAAAAATAGATACTAGGAAACAGGAGATCGATCTTCTAAAAATGGGAAAAGCGCCAGGAGCTGGAGGGAAGGGGTGGAGGTGGGGAGGGACGAAAAGGAGAATGGACAGTATCCGTCCTGCACCCCAGCACCCTGCCACCCTGCCACCCCGGCACACGCACCGCACCACGAATACAAAGCGATTATCCCGGTGCCCTCTGCCCTCTGGCAGGGAGCTACCCAGCCCTGTCCCCACCCCCTCTCCTGTCCCTTCCGCACTATCCCAGCCTGCCCAGCCTCCTGGTGGTCCTTGGGGTGTGGGGATATAGGGTCCCCTCAAGCCTGTCTGTCTGGGGGACCCAGATACAGTAGGCTCTGCCAGGCGAGGCCTTGGATGGTGAGCACCTCACCTGCAGGATCCGATGCTCACTGTCCCCGGGAAGCAGCTGGTCAGAAACTCAGGAGTCAGCCGAGGATTTACGGCCCGTGCCCCCACTGCTGTCTGTCCTCTCCTCCTGCTCCCCTGTCCTCTCCTCTTCAAGGCTAGAGCTGGGGATGAAGCCCACTTCGCCCTAATCCCGCCTCCCCTGGCACTGACAGCCAGGGACAATGTGTGAGGGAGGGGCCCCTGGGGATCAGATCAGCCACCAGCACAGCCAGTGCCAAAATCCAGAGCCCATACAGGGCTGGAAGGTCAGGGGAGTGTAGACAGCAGGGCCCTTCCAGATGGGTGCCAAGCCCGCCTGCAACATTCTCAAAAGTGGCAACCACTGCTCCAGCCATTTCATGAGCCGTCCAAACATATCCTGGTTAGAAGCCTTGGAATCTTCTCCAGAAAAATGCAGAAATCCACTTTCCAAAGCCCCACAGCCCTGGTGGGACCCCTGTCTGAGGTGGGGTCTGCAAGCCCTGAGTTGCATCTCAGCTCTCCCTGGGTGGGTGAGACTTCTCTGAGCTACTGTCTCCTCCCTCAGTGTCGTGTGAGAGGGAGGGGACGGAATACCTAGAAAACAACTTGTGTGTGTGTGTGTGTGTGTGTGTGTGTGTGTGTGAGACTAGGGCTGAACCCAGGGCTGTCACATTTAGCTTCATCTCCAGCTTTTTTAATTATGTATTTTGCGACAGGGTCTTGCCAAGTTCCTAAGTTGCCCTGGCTGGGCTTGAACTTGTATCCTCCTGCCTCAGCCTCCCGGAGTGCTGGGATGACAGGCGTGTGCCCAGGAGGGAGGGTGACATAGTGTGGCAGGAAGAGCACGATCAAGGTGCCCTTCCCTGAGCGTCATCCCTGTGCCAGGGCTGGGCTGGGCATCCTGTATCCGACCCTGGCCACCTCTGAGCAGCAGGTGTTCTTGTTATATCTCTCTTACAGATGGGGAGCTGAGTGTGCACTGCCCCACGCTCCTCCCCTGGACCCCATGGGACCCTGCCTTGGGGTCTTAGGAATTGCGCCCTTCACCTACGGCTTCCCTGGCCCTGCAGATGCTCAAAGCCAAGCCCCGGAGAGATGCCTGGACCAATGGCCCCAGAGAACGGGGCGGGGACAGTGTCCGACCTGGACTCAGGCAGGTGATGCCCTAGGGGACCTTGGATGCACTTCCTCTCCTGTGACATCCTAGGCCGCGAGCGAGAGGCTGGGCTGTGAACCCGGCAGACCTAAGAGCCCAGGCAAGGGTGCAGGACCTGCACCCCCGGAGGCAGCAAGGCCGCCCGCCTGTACCAGCTCCTTGAGTTTGGGACCCTCAACTTCCTTAAGCGTGGTGGGTTCCAGACACGCTGTCCCAAAACATGCTCAGCTAAAGGAACTTGAGAAACGCACAGAAGCAGGCAGGTCCCTCTCTGCTAGCCCCCCTAGGACAGGTCATGGACCCACTTTGCAGAAGGAAAAGAACCTGCTCAGCTCTGAGGACGCGAGGACCGCAGGCCCTGGGCACCGGCCTTGCCAAGTGACCCCTGCACTGCCCTTGCTCCCTCCCCCCTCCCTCCCTGCACGTTTCCTCCTTCCTTCCTGCCTCCCTCCTCCCCTTCCCTCCCGTTTCCTCCTTCCTTCCTGCCTCCCTCCTTCCCTTCCCTCCCGTCCCGTCCCGGGAATGGAACCCAGGCCCTTCACACTGAGCTCCACCCTTGCCTCCCCCAGCTCTTCCCTGAGGCAGAGTCTCCTTAACTCGCTGAGTTGCCCAGGCTGGGTGGAAAGTTGCCACCCTCCTGCCTCAGCCTCTCAGAGTGCGGGGACTACAGGTGTACACCCATGCCCTGCTTGGAGTTATTTTTAGTCCAGTCATTTATCTGCATGAACACATGCTGGTCCACCAAACTGCGTAAAAACACAGATTCACCGCCGTCGCTCTTCACAAAGCCTCTCGTGCATCAGCAAGCCTGGTGCTAAGTTCACAGTCAGGAAGAGATGTTTTGTCTCGGTTTCTCAGTCGGAGGGTAAACTCTGTCCGCCTCGCAGCTCAGCCCCTGCACTCTTCAGGGACATGGAACACACTGTGGACTACATGGGGGTCCGTGGGCGAGCAACCCTGGTCCTAGGTACTGTGTGCTCAGTGCTGAGTACGGGCTGCTTAGGGCCCGGGCTGCCAGGGAAGGTGCCAGCCACGGCAGTCAGACCCAACGCTCACGGCATCCCGGGATTTGCAATCGTGGTGGTGCACGCCTGTCGTCCCAGCACACTCGGAGGCTGAGGCAGGAGGATGGCAAATTTCAGTCCAGTCTGGACCACGCAGCGGTGAATGCTGCGATGCTACTACAAATAAATTTTAAAAAAGGGCCGGGGAGGAAGCTCAGTGCAAGGGCCTGGGGCTCAGTCCCCAATCCTGCACATGAAAGGAGTCCTTGTGTGCACTTATCACAAGCCAGGAAAGGCTGACAGCTTCCCAAGGTCACCCCACCTTCGGGTGATAATTAGCACCCCAGGAGCAGGAATAGAATCAAGAAGCCAAACCACACGTGGGCTGGGAGACAAGAAGAGCAACTTCACCCCCACCCCGCCTCACCCCCGCCCCACCCCACCCCACCTCACCTCACCCCCGCCCCACCCCACCCCAATAAGCAATGGGCTGACAGGGGGAAGTCAGGCTGAGATGAGAGCAACTGACAACAAACAAACAAACCCAAAACCTAGTGCTTGTGCTATTTGACCGACTTTGCAGGCCTGAAGCTGGTGGTCTGAGCATCTATTTGGAGGCTAAGAATATGCATTATAGCAACTGGGGGGATTCCCTTCTGTCTTGTTTCTGAAATCCAATGCTTTGCTCCGTTTTACTGCATTGTTTTAGTCCCGTATCTGGTGACCTGAGCAGGTAGTCTGAAGATAACCCTAAGCACCGTAAGAGCCACGGTTAAACCCTCTCCCCTGGTTTGAAGCCCTGTATCACAGCTGTTGTCTGTTGTTTTTTTGATTTGTTTGCTTCTTGATTTTTTTTCTTTTCTCTCTCTCTTTTCTTTTTTTTTTTTTTTTTTTTTTTTTTTTTTTTTTTTTGTTCTTTTGAGACAGGGTCTCTCTGTGTAGTTCAGGCTGGCCTTGAGCTCACTTTGTAGCCCAGGCTGGTCTCGAACTTGCAGCGATCCTCCTGCCTCAGCCTCCTGAGTGCTGGGATGACAGGTGTGTGCCACCACACCTGGTTTCTTTTTTTTTTTCTTTGAAATTAGAAGAAAAAAGAAGAAGAAGCACCCCAGTTTGGAGACAAGTGGGGAGAGTCCTATACCCTGAGGGAGTACACTGCTGTCCCCAGCCCCTGCTACTCTCCACAGACACCAACTTGGCTGGGGAGGCAAATGCTGTCTGCCACGCTGTCAACCTCCCTGGCAGGCCGGAGGCAGCTGCGCGTCACAGGTGGGAGGAGAGGCGTGGGGGTGGGGTGCCTGTGAGGAGCACGGGGACACCCCTGGCCTTGTTCTCACAGAGTTTGGGGGCTGGGGGAGCCACAGAGGGCAGGAGGCAGCTGGGCGGCAGAGCCCTCACACACCCCGGTTTGGCTCCTGGGACTCCGGACAGCACGCA